ATGTAGCTTGTACCAAGGGCTCACTCCGTCCTCTCCTTCCTCAATGTTCAAAAGATGGCTGACGCATTCTACTGCATAGCTCCAGAAACATGGTGGTAATCCCGCTTCCAAGAGGCAAGTTGCGGTTGTCATCATAATGAACTGATTGTTCCTCTCCGCCAGAGAATTGTTCTGAGGATGATTCGGTAGAGAATGATCGAATGGGATCTTCAGCTGCTTCATAGCCGTCTCAAACTCTGGGGCTTTGTCGGCATAAGCAATCTTGATCTTCTTCAATCCTTTGAAGTGGTTTATTGCATTGACCACGTCCTTGGCAAACCTCTCTTTCGACGGATAGGCCCATATGACGCCTGTGTACCTGTCACGAATGACGAAGATCTCTCGATCAGTACTGATCCCTTGATCAAGGATGTTCCTCGTATCGACAAAATCAAGGGTAACCAGATCCCCAAAAGCTTTGAGCTTTCTCTTGAACGCTCCTCGATGCGTCTTGAAGTGTTTCATCTTTGCTCTGATGCATGACTCACAGTAGGGATTCTTGTAACGGTGTGTGAGTAGATGTTCGATTTTCCTGGCATCTGCTTTCAGAGTTCCTCTTCTCACCATTCTGCTTGCACCGTCAACAATATCCACCTCGATGTCATCTGCATCATCATCGTCAGCTTCTGGTTCACTGTCTCCGGCGACATCTGATCCTACCTCATCTTCTTCTCCAGGAGATGCCTTGAACTTCTTATTCCTCTTTCGTCTTTTGACTTTTGGAGGCTCAATCACAGGGAGGTCGTCATCATCACACATGACGCCTTGAGGATCCACATCACAGTTGATGAAAGCCGATTGGTAATCAGCTTCACCTTCTCCTAGGGTGAACCTTGCGATCATCTCCGCCCTTACATCGTCGGTGGGGTTACAGAAGTCACTGCCCTTGACAATATATGGGATGTTTCCCTCTACTTCTAACATGATTTTCTTGTAGTTCGGGGAAACCATGTACGGGTTGCCGCAGGCTGGCCATATGAATGTGTAACCTTCCTCCACGCATTTCTTTCCAACAGACAGTACTGAAGGAGACTCATCTAAGACGAATGGGGAGTAGGTAGAGTCAAATTCGTCGAAATGAATGTCGGCGACTCCCTTTGTGGATGTCACTCCATTTGCGGTATAGAATGACATTGATTGGTCGCTTTCTCTCACTTCCAGACCTAATTTCTTGGCTCTGCCTTTCGATATCAAATCATACCCACATCCTGTGTCCATGATGAACTTTGTTCTTGACCCTTTGGCTGGAATAGACAATGTCTTTGTGTCTGCATGATCTTTCTTTCCCTCGCATACATGAGGAATGACTTTATGATGGAAAACTAGGCCGTCATCTTCGTCAAAAGACATAGTGACCGCTAGGTCACCCTTTGGTCCAACTGGTATTCGGACCCTCTTGATCTCAGTGTAGGGGACCATCAATATGCCTCTTGCCTCTGCGACCTTTTCTTCAAATCTGATTTGTTCTTTCCTCGTGTAGCAGGTGAGCTCTTTCTCATCGTATCGTTTGATGTCTGGACGTAGAGGTTTCCTTTCTACTACCTTCCATTTGTTCCTGACTGAGTAGATCGCTTCGTTCAACATGATCTCACAAGTCTCTTCATCAAAGGATACTTTTGCACCTCCTTCTCTTGCCTTGGCGGATGCAGCAATCCCTTCATCTTCGGATTCGTCCATGAAGAGTTCACCGTCAATGGCTGGGGCTCCAGGCTTTGCTTTAGGCTTCGGTTTGGGTTTTGCCTTGGGCTTTGGCCTATCGTCTCCTGAGTCAGCTGGTGCAGATATCCCTTTCTTAGGAGAGGCTTTTGGGTCATGGTAGAACTTGCAATCCTTCCCTTTGTCACAAGTTCCTCGAATCCACATCCAACATACTGGCTTGTCATTCTTTCCGACAGAAGATCCTCTGGATGGTGATCTGGGTTTCTTGTGACTGAATGGGCAATCTTTCCCCATAGTGCAGTTACCTTTCACGAAGTATTTGCATGGTATCTTCTTCTTGTCTGTACTCGGACTTCGGCTGCGATCCTTTCCATCACCTTTACCTTTCCCCTTTCCCTTTTTGTTCTTGTCTTCAGGATGCTTCTTGGGATTGGGTTTCGGCTTCACTGCAGCAGCGTCTTCTGAGACAACCTGTTCTTGTTGCCCTTTTGGTTTCTTCTTCGGATCAGCTGGTGCAGCTTTCAGTTTTGGAGCAGGTCCGCCTGGTTTGAGATTCTGAAAGATATTGGCCACATTCTTCACTGCCTTCTCCTTTTCCAGGATCATCCTGTCTTCAGTTTGCCGTTCGATGTGCCTTCTGATCATATCACGTAGATGTTTGTATGTCTTCTTGGCATCATCGTCGTTCATGCTGTTGTAGGCGCTGATGTCGTATGCCATGAGGTTTGAGTTCCTGATCTTTCTCCATAGGAGATCCCGAAGAGTTTCGTCGCTCGGGACGTCAACGGGCTTCATTCCTGCCAGAATCTCATCCCAAGTGTGGAAGAACAACGATAAGTTCTTGTCTCCTTGATATTCTAGTTGGTAGAGGTGCATTGAAGTATATAAGACTTCCACATTTGATGTTGTCTTGAAATTCATAAGGATCAGGGCTAGGACCTCTCTTCCCTTTATGAGGCTTGATGTTCTCCCTTTTGCATTGATCCTCGTCCTCAACTTCATAGCTACACCTGAACCATCATCTTTCGCATCCATGACGACCTTGGTAAGAGCTAGGCCGAGTTTGGCATCGATTGAATGGAATCTTTGGTCTCCTGAGTCGACAAACTTGTCCGGATCAGGATCGTCCATGGCTTCTTTGATCCAGTCGATCCAGGGCTCTTGATCTGAATCATTGGCCGCAATGATGATCGATTGAATGAGATTTGCCTTCCATAGTCCAAGATCATTGATCCTGGGCCATGACGGAACGTTTATCTTTGATTCTTCCTTCCTCGATACTTTCATGATTGTAGAGGTTGCCGGTGCAAGATGAGATGAAGAGGATGCTTCTGCTTCTGAAATCTTGTCCCTCAATGATTTGTTCGCCTCGGATAGCTCAATTGATTTCTCCCTTTCCTCGGCGTACTCATTGTGGGTTTCGGCATACCATTCATACATCTCATCTCGGCTCTCTGTCATTTCATTGTACCCGTCCTTGTAGTGCTTCGCCTCCTCTTTTGCGTTCCGAATCTCATCTTCCTCGGACGCGTGGGTTGGTAACCCGCGGTCTCTGGAACTAGGACGCTTGCTGTACCGAGAGACTATGGGTGCCATTCGTGCTTCTGCTTTTAATTTCGCATTTTCCATAATGACATTCTTTGTCTCCTTCTGGCTTTCCAATAGTGCATTCTCCAGTTCTCTGATCTTCTGTTGAATTTCAGCACCATCATCGCCGAACATAGGAGCTCTCATCATATTCTCTCTTTTCAGCTGTGCGTTGGCTTCGGATAGAGCGAGGTTGGCGTCTTTCAACTGTTGTCGTTCACGGATGGAACCTTCTAGGACTTCGTTATTGAATATTTCTCCTTTTGCGATAACCTCCTTTGCGACGTTTGCTTCGTATTCATGGTGGCTCGCCTTCATTTCTGCCATTTCTTTAGCAGAGACTTCAGTCTGGCATACAAATATCTCCATCCTCATGCCTCTATCTCCGCTCTCGCGTTGAGTTCAGCTCCACGTGCCATAGCTAGTTGACCTCGTAGATGATCAATAACCATAGCTTCCTGATTGCTCTGATCTTGAGATGAGTGAACACTGTGTTGAAGACGTCTTTCCCTGACCTCACTGTTCCATTGTTCTTCTCTCTGGTGTTGGATCACCTCGTGCATGTTGACATTCTCATCCTGTAGCGCAATCATTCTAGCTTGTATCTGGTCAGCTATTCCGACGAAGGCTGTGTTCTCATCCTGAATGGCTTTTGATCTTCTATTGATCGCCAATGAAGATTCATTCTGTTCTTGGATGTGTCCAATTGCTGCTTGAAGCTCTTGGGACATTCTGTCCTTCGTTGCTTTCACAGATTCAAGCTCTGAATGTTCTTGATGAGTTTCTTGTGCAAGTTCTTGATATCTCATGTAGATATGTTCAGCTGTCGATTCCGCCAAGCGTAGCTTGTGTTCGAGCTCTTCAATTCTTATTGTCGCTCCTTCATCTTCCTGTGTCATCTCTTGTAGATGTTCCTGCATCTTCCTGTTGTAGTCAGACATTTGCCTTAACTCCACTTCAGCCTCGTGGTGTAGTCGTGAGTATCCGGCTTGGATGCATTCATATTCTTCATGAAGAAAATTGTATGCGTTTCTCGCCGATCTCAATTCTTCACCCAGCTGAATCTCTCTTCTTTGCTCTTTTGTTCCTCTATCATCGTCACGTCTCTTCTCTATACTCCTTCTTGGGGATCTCGCGGTAGACGTTATAGGCGATGTAGATCTTGTTGTAGCTCTCATCGATCTTCTTGGTCCTACGGGTGCAAGATCGGTCAGATTCCGAGCCGGTGGCACGGATCTTTCCGAGATTTGTGATCCAGTAGGCATAGTGATAACGTCAGCATTTGCTGATGAATCAGTACCCATTGTAGAGTCTGGTGACGAAATGGTGTTGGGACCACCAGGAGCAGCGAATGAATAGGGTTCGCTTCTATTTCCTCCTGAGCTTGACATTGCAGGTTTCTGTAATGACTAGTCTTGTTCTTGGTCTCGTGTAGCTCGTACGGCTATAAAGAGCGCGTACGGCTGATAACCTGCGAGTGGATCTTAATCAGCGAAGTTTGAAGCTATCACTGACGATCCATAAGCGGCGTAGCGTCGGAACGGAAACCGCACCTTTTCTAGTCGCTTGATCCTTGAGCCAAAGTACATATGGTACATATATATGTACAAGTTGCACTGTACGTGTCGCTGCACTTCCATTCGCACATTATGAACAAATACATACAGCATCATTCTCCACCCTGTGGCCCTAGTGTTAGGTCCATGCCAAGACACAAAGCATTTGGAAATACCCGAAGCCGGGGAAGGCTTTGCCACCCTCAGAGAATCACAGAGCTTTGAGCTTTGCGTTCCAATTTGCGCTCGTTCATAAAATGCTCTGGAGAAAAGCCGAAGAAGTATCACGTATCCAATCGATTTACCTGAAGGGTTTTTCAAGTTCAATGAGCGTCATGTCCCAAGCCATCTAAGTGGCATTCATCATGCGCAGCCAGAAGGGGGTCACGCTCGCCAAATCGAGCCAAAACCTCAGCCGTCACATCGTTGAGATTCGGACACAGAAAAGGTCATTGGCAAAAGCAAAATAGAAAAGGCAAAACAATCAATGAATACGGTGCATGAATGAATCTGAACCTGTTTAATCTTCAGGACAAAGCATTATAGACTTGAAAATAGACTTGTTTTGTAGAGTGATTATAGTAGTCATTCTACAGCATGTGACGGTTAACAGTTCTTGCATCAACTATATATCCTGACTCGATGCCAAGGGACCATCCAAAACCTCCATTTAAGCCGGTGTAGCGCATTACAATCTCCCGAGGGTCTTTCTGCCACGCACCCTGCGACCTGAGGACAACGGCAAGGCAACACGGCGAGACCGGTCGAAGGGCCCGGGGATCCACACAAGTCGTTGGCTGGATTCGAATAAGCAATGAAAAACTGCAGGACCATATCCTTGGGATGTCTCTGTGCCAGTTTCGACCGGATTCAGCACATCGAAATACTGTAGATCATTGCTCATCATGCTATCTAATCTTGTGCAGTGCAGCCTTACTGATCGACTGACAGCCTGAAAGGGCACTTTCGATGTTTCATGCTACTTCATTGCCATGCATCCGCCGAAAACCAGAGGCTCATGATCGTTTCCAGCATCCTGCCGCAACTGAATGTCAACAGCATGTCAACAAGTCAAGATTGAATCAAAGTCCTGTCTCTAAACATTTGCAACAGTTCTTGTTCCAAGTTCAGTCCATGCAGGGAACCTGGTCCAAGTAAACCCTTCGAAATCCCTTGAAAGCGTGCAGGTATGATCAGGCAGTGGTCCAGGATGGTCCAGGGTATCGGATCCATCAAGATTCCAACAGGTGAGGTGCCAATGCCCTTTGCTCCTAATAATCCTAATAGCTTCTTGCTCCTAGTAGTATGGCCAGGAGCCCCTAGTAGCGTCCTTGCTCCTACCATTGAATATTCATGCTTTGGCTCCTGTGGAATTGTGGCAGCTCATCCCAGGTGAAGAACACCTCACGAGCGTTCCGTCTGCGGAGATGTCCCCCGAAATCACGAGCGTTCCGTCCATATGCGCCGTCCAAGGCGCCAGGACCCATGGAAGATAGTACCTGAGTCGACTGCGATTCGCACAAAGGTCGAAAAAGAAGGACTGACCTACCTGCGGGGCGACCAACCTCGCACCGACCAATTTTCAGGATTCCAACCGAGAAAATGCCGAGCATGGTTTTCCAAAATCATCCAGAGTAGTTGCACAAGAGTTTGGGGCCTGTGCTTGATGGCATGTACTTACTTTAGTGCTGGCAGTCATCAACAAGACCAGTATGCCATGTGGGAGTGGTCTGCCCTGAGCAAGCCTCAGTTCTTCCCTGTCCTTTTCATAGATCGCGGGACTGGAGTGCTTCTGGAAAGTGAAAATGTTGATCTGCCAGGTGTCTTCTCATCCAAGCAATGAAGCAATGGGGCCAATCCCGACAAGCAAAGGTAAAGGTCGATCGCAAATTAGATGAAGGCAAAAGGGTATTTGATTTCAAGTAGAAGGGGACGCTTTCGCCCTGAGTGTCTGCACATCCATCACTTCTGACTGTGGCACTCGGTGCACATCCCAGCTACGCAATGAAGAAGATCATAAGCGTGAAGCTTAGATCCCACACCTACATCAACACTCAGGCCCATGGAAAGAAGCACAAGGGTGGCTGGATGTGGCTGGTGTTGCAAAGACTGAGAAGCTCTCTTGATCTCGAAAAAAATAAGCAAATGATAGTATACGTATGACATATATATATATATCAATATACTGTACTATATAGCAAACTATGACCATTTGACAACTTTTACATTGAGTGACTTTTGCGTCTACAAGGAATGACCAAGCCCTTTGATGCCATGCAGTGAACTTGAGGAGTCGAATCTTGGTACAAACGCCTACCACTCCAGGAGACATGCAATCAAACCTTTGCAGATCTTTACTGAAATCCTTCCAATCTTTAGCGATGCTTCGTTTGGAGATACCCAACAAAAAAAAATGACCATCTTCAGAGTCAATCCTTTGCGTTGCATCTTTCTCTCCCTCTCTGCACCTCCACCCAATGAACGAAGCCCTTGGCCTCAGAAAAGTCACGTTGAACCTCTTCCCGAAGTCATTCGATCCAATCTTACATAGGTCTTTTCCAGAAAAACATCGAGAAAAAGACAGAACTAGGACCCAAATCATTCAGGCTCAGGTTTCTTCAAGGAAGCCCCCCCACCCTCAAGCTGGGGGAGCTCCCTTGAAGAAGCCTGAGCCGCAGCCTGCGGCTTCCCCCCCCCCAACACCGTCCTTAAATTACACCAGCATAGACTTAAGACCGTCTACCCTAAACAGTTTCAGCAGGAGTCTTGATTGTTGTGTCGATTCCTTCCTGAGAAAATCCAAGGATGATATCAAACTTGCAACGCTGCATCACTGTCGCATAGCCACAAGAAAACCCACTGGACAGCGGTGGAGAATGGGAAAACAGCATGGCCAAGCAGGGGACAAGGCTGGGACAAGGCATAAGAGGGCCGACCACGCCGACACACAGACCTGAGCAAGACACACAGGCCTGGACAAAGCTTTGAAAAGGTGGATAAGACAGGGCCCGCGGCGCACACAAGCACAGACAGATTCACCCGAAGAAAGCCAATGCAGTGAAGAAAGAGCGCGCGGCCAGACACAGGCTTTGCCAGAGCACAGCGCCAGGACACGAGGAGGACAGGTTCGCCAGTGTGGCCAGAGGGCAGGAGGACAGGACTTTGTTGGATGACAAAAAGAGAACAAAAGGAGTACACTGTCTGGGGACAAAAAGGTCTGCCATCAGCTAACCGCCACAAACACTGGTCAGCAGTTCCGATCGCGATATCACTACCACCGGTCGATCGGTGCCCCAAACGTGCCGGGCCTTCTTGGATTCGCTGAGCTCGGGGACGATCACCCAAGAGCGGCATAGCTTGTGCCACTCGTGGCGCAACGCCTGTGGCTGCGACTCCTTCTCGTAGTCGTTGTCTTCATCGTCCAGACTGCGGAGAAACTCCATAACCGTGCAAAGCTAAACTCTGGATCTGCAAAAACGAAGTACTATTACTAATTCGTACTTCAATTCACGTCATAAGTACATGAGCTTACCAGCTGCAGCTACTCTGCTTTTGGAAACCTTCGTGACATCAACTGGAATCCCTGTCGGATCCTGGTGGACGCGATGTTGAAGTTGCAGTTGAAGCTCCGTTGCTTCATAATCCCACGTGAGAAGTTCGCAAACTTGGTCTTCTTTATCCTTCCATCCTTAAATGTGGCTGGGCGCTGAACTGAAGTTCAAATCTTTAGAAATCCATCTATCATACGCACTGTAATTTGTGACTTGCAAGAACATGATGGGGCATGTGCCTTCGTCCAATTCCTCTCATATGCTAACTCTCAATTTAGCATAGCATCTCCATCCCAGTGGTGCTCGCTAGAACCTGCTGAGGCATGGTCTCCGTCGAAGTCAAAGCTCACCTGTGTCGGAGTCAAAGGTTCAGTGTGGGCAGTGAGGAAGCTTGATATCAAATTCAAGTCGCCCAAGCAAAATGATCAATGATATATAATAGCATACAAACACTTGTGTAGATTTAAGTTCCGTCAAACAATTGCATGTCTGAATTGGAAGGGTTGAAGCACAATCTGGTTCAGGGAACACCTGAAGGCGCTAAGCCTTACATGCAAGGACCGACACATACAATCATACAGCAGGTTCTAGCATCTGCTGTTGCCACAAACAGCTTGGACAATGATGATTTCGCGACCAGTCGAGGAAGCAAGACCGACCCAGTCATTGCGTTTCCTTGATTTTCCTGGAGTAAAGTAACCTTCGGGATTCCAAACAAAAACATGCGCAGACGTGCCATCAAGCAGCGCAGTCTCTTGGCAAAATAAGAGCGATGATTGAACCGCTGGCGAATGAGATGTTCAACTCTGTTCAACTCGAATTGAAAAACCAAGGTTCATCTAATCATCTCTGCAGGATTCCAAAGGATCCCAACGACCTCTTAGAACTGAAGAGAGAAATTCGATTCGGTGGTTTTTTCAGTGCGGTCCTAACCGGAACAAATATCGACAGACCTTCCGTTGGATTGATGGATTGATCCTCCGTTTTCACTCCCCATTGGCTCACCTTTGCAGCAGTAACAGAAGGTGGTTCAACGCCATGGCAATCAGGATCCTCAAGGCTCGGAGGCTCGGTCGTTCGGAAGGACCATAAGGCCCAGAACCTATATAATAGCAATGGCCTCCAGCCTAGTAGCGATGGCCTCCAACCTAGTAGCGATGGC